TACGTAAAAGAGAGGAAATGCAAAGCATACTACGGTTAGCATCACATGCAAACTTATAACTTCTAGAGATGTATCCATTTTAGAGACTTATTTGAAATGCCATATTTTAGTGAGTAGCATAGCCTTTCGAAGACTCCGTAAAACAGATGAAATGCGAACCATACTATAGTTAAATATACTCCGTAAAACAGAAGAAATGCAAAGCATACTATGGTTAGCGTCTCATGAATACTTATTACAAACTTCTCGCAATGTATTCATTTCAGAAATTTATTTGAAAAGCCATACTTCAATTATTAGCATAGTTTTATGGGAGGCTCAGTAAAATAGAGAAAATGCGAAGCATACTATTGTTATTTATTTTCTTCTTAAAGTAGTACACTGACTATCAATAAGTATTTGGACACCTATGCAAATGACGATATCTGCGGTCCTAAGGTACGTCACGGTCTCCGCCGTTATATGTCGTATAGGAAACAGCATCGGCTTTAGTAACATGCAAGATGCCTCGAAGTTCGGAGCTTTCTGATTTCGAGAAAGGTATAATTATCGGGTATCACAAATGTGGCCGATCCTTAAAGGACATATCCAGCGATCTGAAGTACCCAAAGTCGACAGTGGCCTATGTGATTAAGAAGTGGAAGGTGAGCGGTGATTGTAGGAATGTGCCCCGAGTCGGCAGACCAACGAAACTGAGAGATAGAGACCGACGAGTGCTGTCCAGAGAAATTCGGAAGAACCGCATCCAACCGATGGCCCTCATCCGCGAGGAGTTTCAACAGGCATCCGGGAGTATTGTTTCAATGAATACCATCCGTAAGGAAGCACATCTGCTTGATTTTCATAGTCGTGCTGCTGCCCATAAGCCTTTGATCACAAAGTCCAACCGCGCTGCTCGATTAATGTGGTGCAAAGCACATCGAAATTGGACCGTAGAGATCAGTGGAAACGGGTTCTTTGGAGTGACGAATCCAGGTTCACCCTTTACCGTTCGGATGGCAGGGTCTGGGTCTGGCGTCTACCTGGAGAACGTCTCCTACCAGAATGCATTGTGCCAACAGTCAAGTCGGCGGAGGTGGAATTATGGTCTGGGGGTGTTTCTCCTGGTATGGGCTGGGACCCTTGGTCCCCATTCATGGTAAGCTCAACTCCGATGCCTACTGCACTATTTTGGATGACCATATGCTTCCTACGTTGTGGCAGTTTTACGGGTTGTACCCCTGTTACTTTCAGGACGACAATGCCAGTTGTCATGTTTCGACATTAAGGCTTGGTATGGGGCCAATGGAGTTCATCGAATGGACTGGCCTGCCCAGAGTTCAGACCTGAACCCTATCGAGAACCTCTGGGATGAGTTGCATCGCCGAATTCAGGGGTGCACTACCCGTGCAAAATCGGTGAAGGAACTTCTATGTCTTCTCCAAGCCGAGTGGAAGAAAATACCACTAGCTGTCATACAAAGACTTGTGGAAAGTATGCCCCTGAGGTTCCACGCTGTAATTACCTCTCGTGGAGGCTCTACCAACTGTTGATTTTGAATAAAGTTAGTTTTTCTTTTCTACCACAGGTGTCCAAATACTTATTGGTAATCAGTGTATAATTCAGTAAAGTCCCGCAACTTGATCTAATACGTACTGAGACAGGAAGTGAGTTACGGAAAATGTGAAGTTTTACCGAAGAAGGGGTGGGTTATTTATACTTTTAGGGGTGGTTTATTATAATACTTTACTTTATAATTCTCTAATAAAAGCTCTACTAAAATGCAGCACAAAAGAATAGAACATATTTTATATTAATTATTAAAATGCAAAATACTTACATATGGAATTAAAGAAATACGTAGTATATCTTTAGTTTATCGATCATGACATATTCTTTCTACATCGCTAAGACACGATATGATAGAAGTTTACATCTATATCCATTCTTCAGCGCTTTCAAAATGCGTTAGTTCATTGGCTGAGATACTGAAATCGTGTTAGGAGGGAGAAAAAGCTGTTATGTGTTCGTCTCGTAATAATTCCGCATCAAAATGGAATAAAGCGTTGGCGAAGATGTGAACAGTAATGCATAAAATGTGTACAATATTGCAATAATACAGTAATTAAAATGTACCTGTACTGTTTGAATCGCGTAGAGTCATTAGGTTTGTAGAAACAGAAACTATGAAATAAGTGCAGTGCTCTCACCAGGAAATGAACTCTGGACTTTCTGATTGCCAGCTCAACATTCTTCCAATCACACCAAGAAGACATGCGGTTTTGGTTTGGTGGGGTTTATTTTATTACGACAAATCACACCAGGGCTATGTGAGGGGAGGTATGCCTTCGGGAAGGATGTTCTAAAGAAAACTGCCTCGTATACGAGTTACACATAGGGAATATGACGAAAACACCCATGCAACCAGCCCGTTCGCCTGGAATTGAACCCAGGTCGGAACCACTAGTGTTCAGTGACTTGACCGCTGGTGGGCCGAAGATATGCGGTAAGAGAGGAGAAAATTCCTAACATTCTCTCCCACACTTCAAAGGCGAGTGGGGAGACGGCGCTAAGTTGCAAAACCCAGTGGGTGAAGATTTACTGTCTACCATATTTTTGTTCATGCACCACTTATTGAGTCACCTAGAAGTTTTGAGATAGCAAACGTGAGAAAATCAGCTATGCTCTCGCCGTGATTCAAACTCCTGACTTCCCGATTACCAGCCGGATGTGCTTCCAAGAACACCACGAAGCTACGCTGTAAGGAAGGAGAAAATTTCTTACAACTGTACAGATGATGTTAGAAATTATTAATGCTTAATCGTTAATAGACTGCAACATTATTTCAAATACAGTTTTCTTCTTGATAATCAGAAATCATTTAACGATTAAAAGAAGAAAATTTATCTTCAAATTATACGTGATGTCGAGATATCGAGAGTCGATTTTGCGGAACTCTGTTAGAGGTACTTAGGTGCTTGTGCTATTTTGGAATTGGAGAAAAGAAAAACTGTTTCTTGTTCCGAAGCAAACACACGTTTTTTCTTAAGTGTACAAAAATAGATTTTTTCGGTTTCAAAATGGGGGCTAATATCTACTTATTTTAGTCCATGAATACTATTTCATGAGGGTAGAATAATGTTTTTCTTCTGGCTTTAGCTCTCATATTGAATTGTTGGAAAGTTTTTTTCGCTTTTTGCTATGGCTAATTCTTGTTAGACAACACGAAGAAAACCTCTTCAAAGCGTTTATTTCGTTTATATATTTTTTTTTATTTACAGATTTCATTTCTTGACAAAATATAAAGTATCGTCACTTGGGGAAAATACCGTATATTTCTGAATATAAGCTTATCTGTGTCCAAGATGACAAGTAAGATTTTGTTGCAAAATTGAAAACGCGCGTATTAACGACTTTAATCCTTTATTTATCACGTTTCTTAGAAACAGCTTACGTTTTTGTCTCTTGTGAGAGATTTGCCAATTAACTCTTTCCGGCACGCTACCTTTTAAAGCCGGAGTTTGATTAAAAAAACAAAGGTAGGCAGTCTAATTAGGCGTAGAGGAGTACACAAGAAAAATTTTGTGAAGATAGCACTTATCGTTTTAATTCTGTGGGTGTGCCCTAAGTGGCACAGTGATTGGATAGAGCTTCGAAAAGAGTGCTGAAACGAGCATTGTTGTAAATGAACTGACCGATGAGATGCGGAGAAACAAAGAATACAGACTCTCAGTTGTCCTAGATTATCGGTGAGCCCAGTCTGGACTCACCGATAATCTTTGAAAAATTCGATAATTTCAAAAACTCATTTTTCAATTCGATAATTTCTTTGAAAAATGAGGGTCTTAAAAAACTAAACACAGTTAAAATATAAGAACTAGTTTGTGTTGAGCTGGCATCTACTAGAAATAAAGAAGGTTCAGAGTAATCTATAGTAACCTATAAATCCTTTTTCATTCAATTTTTCTGTGCGTACAGAAGGAAATTTTTAGGTGTGTACAGACCGGACACAGTGTGCCGCAAAGGGTTAAAGGATTAAATTCGCTCTATGAACCCAGCTTGATATCGCTAAAAGGTAAACCTATCAAACGGACTGAAAGCGAGCGCTAGGTCCACAACCATATGCCAGAAGTGAATGTCCAATAGTATAAAAATGTTAGATTAGGGCAATGCTGTGGGCAGAACTGAAGGCCATATTTTTTTCGAGGCAAATGGCGACAATAGTAATGGCGAATTGGTTGACGATGCTATTCACTCATGTTTACTTGTAGCAGAAAAAGGCTTCTGAATATTGCTAGACAATTTCGAAACTATATGAAAAAATTGATGAATATATATTTGGATTAAATAAATAAATAAAAATAATATTTTTGCATTTAATTACTTAAATTATTAATATAATTTCAATTATTGTTTTGCGTTTCTCTACCAAAACATTGCTAAAACTTTAATATTAATACACAGAAATATATGGTATTTGTTGCAAACCTCATGCAATAGCGATCCAATGAAATAAAAGTACAGCTATGTCTGGAATATTAAAGTCTTTTCTTTACTAAATAAGTACTCAAGTTTCCGCGTAGCGTTAATGTACGCTAAAGTAATATCATAGCAAATGTTTTTCTTTTATTTACATTATAGCAAATGTTACAGCAAGTATTTTTCCATATGGCTTTGTATTTTAAATAGGTCATTTTAAGTAAAAACCTTTTTCCTCTATGATTTTAATTGTGTATGTGTTTGAAGGGGGCTAACCATTAAACAAGAAGTTTCCTTTGATTTTAAATGGCTTCAGATGTTAAACTAAAGTCTTCATAATAAGACCAGAATATAATTTCATTTAACCTTATGATTTTTGCATTTAAAAAAGTAATATTTTTCTTTTAATTTCTTTAATTTTTTTAGTTAACTCTTCTCTTCTCTGATTAGACTGCAATCTAAAGTTTTAAAATTTTTGTTAGATTTATATGTGTTTTACTTCCATAAATTTATTTAAACAATTATTCTCTACGTATTTGTAGGTAGAAACTATTGGAGATGCTTATATGGTGGTCTCTGGCCTACCGGACCGTAATGGCATGTTGCATGCGAAAGAAATAGCTCGGATGTCACTAGCATTACTCAAAGCTGTAACTTCTTTCAAAATTCGTCACAGACCTGAAGACACCGTCAAATTACGAATAGGAATTCATTCAGGTTTGTCATGTTTTTTTTCTATAATGCCATCACAAAGAGCGCTTCATAAATAGCTCATAAAGTTTTCATGCTATTAATCCATCCTGAATAAATAAAAGAAGGAGCCAAAGAACAGCGTTTCTGCAACCCACAGTGAATGAAGTGAAAGAGTGAAATTTGTAGCGCCAATTTCTGTGCAAACAATGAAAATTTCATTATTTTTTTTTGCATTTCTACCCATCAAAATATGTCGTAATTAAAGGAATTTAAAATGCTAATTTACCGACAACCGAATGGTTCTAAAGTGTCTAATATTTATTTAAATTTTTTTAAACAATTTATTGCGAAACTTCTCAGTTATTCCGTAAGTTAGAAATATATCTACTAATACCATATTTATCACATTTCTTATTTAATCTCAATAGCTGATAAAACTTCTGTGCATCATCATGACTTAAATGATGATGATGTTTATTCTCACTCAAATTATAAAATATGCCATGTAAAATATGCATATAAAACAATTTAATAATGTCTTCATAAAACAATTTAATATTGCAAATAAAAAAACAGAATGTTCTTTTCTTGATATCAGTTACTATTTCCGGCAGAAAAATCATAACATGTAAGGAAGGAGAAGCAGTGTATATGTTTTTTTAAATACAATATACTCCCGATTATCCGGTTAATGCCGAGAAAGCAAGGCACCGATAACTAAAAGATAATCCAATTTAATTTTTATGCTATTTCTTTAAAAAAATCATTCATTTTATTTTGCTTTTGACAACGCTTAAATATTTACCGAATTTTATTGATTATGTTTCGAATTACCATTTTATTATTGTATTCGAATCCCTTTTTATTCGACGTAGTCACTGCTGTCTCTAAACTAATGTAACGGTCAGATCTTCTTTGCTTATATTCAGTACTTACCTCTTCTGTTGTGACATTTGAAATGATATACGTATCACTTCAGCTTTAAAAATCTAGCTCAGTCATATCGCCATCGAACCATTCCTCGATGTTTTCCAGATCTATAATTTCAGTTTGTTGTTATACAGCTATCAGTTATTGTCCTGATCTCTTGACAACTGTATAAATATAAACATGCAGAACAATTTTTACGGGTTAGTCGTTGAAACTAAATATAAACTTTTATATTTAGTTCTTAATTGTTTTATAAAACTTTTATATTTACAGTGGCTTTTAGAGCATGATCATATTTGCGCATATTTGGTTTTACATACTCTCGCGCATAGCGATGAGTGTGGCGTATAATATGCAGACGGATAATTCGAGAGTACACTTATAACGTTGCGCGCCTCCAACTTGCACGCAACCAAGAGGTGACTGTGAAAACTTGTATAAAAGATAGAGCCTTCTGAAGGGTTTAAGTCCCTTTTTATTCAACGTAATAAATTACAATTGCGTGCTCTTGACGCTTACAGACTGTGCCAACTCGGCAGTCAAATAAAAATAATAACCTGAAAAGAAAAAAAGACAAGATTCTAACTACGAGGCTCTCTAAAATAACTAACTCACCGCGTTTTACAATACCGCTGCTAATTCAGCAGACTTGAAGCTCACTGGAACGATTACACTACTTCCCGCCAAGCACCTAGGCCGCAACGCGGGGTTCTTCAATTCTCGCTAACTACCTCCGCGCTCGTGTAGTAAGAATATCACACCGAACTCGTTTCCTTCTATTTAAATCAGAATACTTCCGCTGATAATTTGAATCCTTGCGCGTTCTACTCAAATTTACATATTCTGGCATTGGCAGTTCCAGGGGAAAGTAAGGCTTGACAGGAAAGATAGTTTAAACTTAAAATAAATGTTAGTTAAAATAAATATAAACCCTACATTTGCCGCTGCCAGAATTTGGAAAACTTGGAAGCAGGTCCTACAAACGACCTGTTGTAAGTTTCTCTCTAATTCTGAACTAACTGGCGAGAACCTCGTTTACACACAAAAAAATCTTATGTAACAAATTGTAAAATTCTGTTGCTCGTTACAAAGCTTTCTTCTTACAGCAACTTTTCCTGGACTTCATCAATCAATCTTGGTCTTTCCTTCCAGCATCTGGAAGGAATAAGTATCAGTATCTTTCTACATACATTATAATTTACACTTTCTTGACACAATAAATTTTTGTTTTTAAACGATTCGTTTTTCTTAGTTATTGCTTACTTCACATTCATTCAATTTTTCAAGCATTAATTTAACTTTACCCTGGCTCTCCACCGTGTGTGGTGTCAAACGGGAATATTCGTGTTTTAGTCTTACAACACTTCCCCTAACCACCATGATTTGTTAGAATTCAACGACCAAATAGACACACCTTACTCGACATTCTACAACTCAATGAGCTACTTTAATATTCTTAAAAATTCAAATGTAGGTGGAGAACCCTACAAAACACATTCATTCTAACTTCCCCCTCATTCATCTTTAAACATGCAGGCTTTCGCTCTAAAGCATGACTTTATCTACAATTTAATACTTAAATTTTGACTTCATTGCTTTTAAGCATTCACTTTTAGCATCTACAATTTTATGCTTCTAGACTAAATTCTACTTTTACATAACATTCAAGTATTTACATACATTTACAAAATTTTAATACATATGCTTTTTACAATTTACCATAAAATGAATAAGAGAAAATAAATTTTTACTTTACTCATTCTTCGCCAAGCTGGCGGCACTGAAACTAAAATTCTTATTAATACAAGAATACGAAGTTATTTTTATCTTCGGCCAAATTTTGGCTTTAACATAACAGAATTAGTCTTTCGACCAACAGAAAATGCTTGTTTTTAGCTTTTACACTTAAAGAAAATAATACTTTTGCCTTAGCTAAATAAAGTAAAACAAAACTAAGTCTCAACCGAGACATATTGACTTTCGTCAAAACATAGAACTTCGTACTTATGCATAACATTTCGGAACAAAAGAGAAAAAAAATTTATAGAAGGTTTTAACTTATCTTTGAGTTTTCGATGCTTGAAACTCCGTCATCCGTTTTTTTGGCAAAATTGATCCCAAGTTAGAGGTTTCATCATGGATGTCAATCTTCTCCTTACTTGATCCCTCCGAGTGTCGTCCACCGTTGCTTTTTCTTTTGCGTCCTCTACATGCTGGCCTCTTGACGGAGTAATCGTCTGGTTGTTGGCCTTTTCCGTTTCTTCCCTGGGACGGCTGGTCTTGACGTCCTCCGGTCTGGAGTCCTTCTTGAATTTCTTCTGTTCCTCGTATTTTTGTGCCTCCTGTTGGCGTTTCAGTTTCCGGAACGGCGGCCTTGCTGGCACCTGACTCTGTGGCCGTGTGCGCGTTCTCCTTGATGTGTAATTTCTCCTGCCATCCTTTGTAGGTGGTGTTTTTCTCTTTACCACGGTTTCTTTACCCGGTTCATCTGTATTTTTGTTTTTCTTAAACGCTGGAGTTTGAAATTATTTTTTTTTTTTTTGATACCGACGTCCGGGTTGTAGAAGTGCTAGGTCTCTCTTCAGTTCTCTGTTTCTTGGGTGGTGGAATAGTTGTTGTCTTCTGGCCCTTCTATTTCGTTTAGACTTGAGTCCTGCAAGAAACTTTTAAGGATTTCAAAATCATTTGGATTATAGTATTTTTTCACCTGGTCGGGACTTGCTTTACAGATTTCCCCTCTCTCGTTCTTAAGATATAAGACTACTCCTTTGATTTCCTGAATTACATAGGGGCCTTCAAACTTTGGAGCTAGCTTTGCCATAAAATTGTCTGGGGCACTTGATAAAGAAAATTTCCGCTTCAATACTTTATCCCCCCCAACTTTAAAATCTGCTTCACGGCGTTTTCTATCATAATATAGTTTCTGCCTATTTCTTGCCGTATCCGAGGTTTTAAGCGCCTGATCAATCAGCTTTTGCACATCTTTTTGTTTAAACTCCTGCTCTCTTTGTTGCACAAAGAATAATTTATCTAAAGGCGTAATTAACTTTCTGCCTAAAAATAATTCTGCTGGAGTTTTTCCCCGTAGTATCATGATGTGCCGTTCTTAAAGCATAAGCTAATTCATTTATGTAGCCATCCCAGCGCTTGTGATGTGTGCTCACGTAACTGCGAATTATTTTTACTATGTTTTTTATTAACTCTTTCTGCTATGTTAGCCTGTGGTCTATACGGAACCATTTTGATATGGCGTATGCCAAGTCCATTGCATATGTTTTCAAATATTTGACTAATGAATTGTTTTCCGTTATCGCTAATGACTTTTATCGGTGCACCGTATTTTAAAATGTATCTGTGTAAGAATGCATCTGCGACTGTTTTGGCTGACGCGCGTTTAAGTGGAACAATTTCTATCCATTTTGAAAAATGATCTACTATTACTAAAAGAAAACGATTTTTATTTAACTCGCTCTGGGGGAAGGGACCAAGGAGATCTATGCCTAAAATTTCATTCGGAAATGTAGCGCGAATGCTATTTAAGTACCCGGCCGGGCTGTAATTAATATCATTTATTAACTGACATTGATTGCAGGACCTGACATACGCCGTTACTATTTTGTATAATTGCGGGAAATATACCGCCTCGCGTACCCTTTTTAAAGTCTTTCTGACCCCTAGGTGGCCCGCTGTTTTTTTTTCGTGCAACTCCTTCAAAATGCTTAATCGAAGCGAGGCTGGGATGACTGGCTTATACTCAAGATTTTCGTTTGTTGTTTTCGTATAGAAAAATAATAATTATCTATTATTTCATAGTTTTTTGCTCTATTTCTTATCGCATCGATATCTGTATGCTCAAAGCTTTCGGGGTCTTTCAAATAAGCATAGATATTTCCAAATTCAGGATCAGCTTTCAGTTCAGTAATAACCGTATCTCTAGAATCTAAAATTTTTGAAGTCAACACAGCGCATTTAAGTTCATTTCCTTCATCGTCCAGTTTTATACGAGAAAGTGCGTCAGCTACATTGTTTTCCTTACCCGGTTTATATTTTATTGTGATATTATATTCTTGGAGTTTTAAAGCCCATCTTATTAA